GAGTTAGTGTATCTCAGTGCTGTTCTCAAGAGTGCATGGAACGTGGGCATATCCTTCGCCTATGGGGCCTCAGTGAGGCTTTGCCGTGTGAGTTAACTGGTAAAGTGACTTGCTAAAATTTACACCTTGTGTAATGGCAGCTCTGACTGGACTTACAGCTTCTAGGTCCACTTTAGCATTCTTCCCATCATGGACTTGCCAGGTGTGCACTTGGGGACATGATTAGTCAGAGACAAGTGATGAGAGAATTCACATGTGTGTGTATACAGAGAGGATTTGTGGTAACCAGGAATGTCTGACCTGGGGAACCCCAAGAAAACTTAAGTTTCTGAGCCCAGTATTCTTTTTTTTTTTTTTTACTTTTTAAAAAAGAATTATTTATTTTAGTTATTATTATTTTGTTGCATGCACTCACCAGAGAGAGAAGGAAAGCGAGAAAGCAAGCTGCCAGGTCTGGGAATCAAACTGCAGTTGACCATGTGGAAAGGCCAGTGCCTCAACCACCATACCACCTGCTGGCCCCAAGCCCTACTGAAAGTAAGGTCCTTTGAAACTGACTAGAGGTCTTTCTGTTCTTTCTGCCTGCTTCAGGTGGTGCAGTTAAACCTGCAGGTACATGTGAAATCTTTGTTGTTTGTTTTAATCACTGAAAGCTATTCTAAATTAGGAACCTTAATGAACTGATTTCTCCTAAATGATCATGAAGAGATTCTGTGGGTTAAGAAGCGCAAGTGGAGCAATCTGTAGGGAGGCGGGGGCTGCCGATCGCTGGATCAGCCACAAGAGGGAGAAGGGACCTGAGGGTAGGGCTCCCCAGTGGGCACCTAGCCCCTGGCCCACAAGGTTGCCCATTTGCGTTTCATTTTACCTTGTCCGGGACATCCCTTGAACTTCAGATGCCCTTTAGATGAGGAAGGACCGGGTGGAATGTGGAGAGATCAGACTGGAGTGGGCACAGGGACAGGAGAAATCCCGGCTGCTGGTTAAAGCCCTTTCCTCCAGCTGGGCATTCTGAGAAGCCTACCTGGGCACAAAGAAACCTGGCGGCAAAGGCGGCGAAGGTGAGATGGGTTTGGGGTCTCTGCTCTGCCATTGGCAACCACAGCCTCGCCTTTGGCCTCTGGGTAGTGCATGTGTGGCCTACTTTGCAGAGGGTTGTGTGGAGGCGGGGAGGAGCCTGGGAGCCGAACCTGATCTGCAGACTGTCAATCAAGGATAGACAAATGAGTTGCTAAGACGTGATGATAACGATTTCGACTTCCAGCCTGGTGTGAGGGACGAAAGGCAACAACAAAAATGCTTGGCATGGTTGTGGGCCCCAGTTGCACCGGGGTCCTCCAAAGCAAATGTCGGGGCGGAAGGCAACCTCGACAGCGCTCTTGGCCCCTCTTCAGGCTGGGGTCTGCGCGGTTCCAAGCCGGTGCCAGGCTGCCGGGCTGCGGGGCTGCCAGGTCGAGACCGGAACGTGCGCTGCATTCGCCTCTTCCTTCTTCTCCCTCTCCTCCCTAGAGCCACGGAAATTCCTCAGTCTGGAATGAAATACCGAAAGTTTCCTGGGGAAAAGTTTGGAAAGACTGACCCTTTTACTTTTATTTTAAAATTTTTCACCCGATCATTTTTTTTTTTAAATTTCACGCTTCACTAAAGTATAGTGGGCCGGTCACAAACGGTGTCAGTAGCCCCATTTTACGAATGAGGAAACTGAGGCCGAGATCAGGTCAATGAATTCTCACAATAGCTTGGATTTGGGGGTTTCCGATTTCAGGTCCTGCGTGCCTGGAACCCATTTTCAGAGGGCGCCTAAATGAGAGGTATTGTGGGAGGAGGAGGGAGAAGGGATAAAGGAAAAAAGTGGAGGGAGAGAAAAAGAAAAATGAGAAAAACCATCTGCGCTCTCGCAGCTCAGACGCCACGCGGGGAAGGAAACTCGTCCGTGCGCCGACAGGTCTGCTGCGTGGCTTACACGCGGGGTCCGGTGTGCCCCGCGTGGTCGCACGGGAACCCGCCTCGCCGACCCCGGTCCCACTTCTGCGGAAGCGCGCACCCCAATCGGCCACAGTCCAAACCACAGCGGGACCTGGCGCGGCAGCTTCCGCGCCCCTACCCTTTTCTGTTCGGCTGTCCGGGTCCGCACTTGACCGTGCACTGCACGGAATCTTGGCTGAAGAGCCTCTGGACCTGCTGGCCGGGGTTTGGGACACCGCGCTGGCGGGAGCAGGTGTCAGGGCGCCTCGGAGACTGCCAGCCTGGCGCTCTTGCTCAGTTCTCTGAGCCCTGGCTCTGAGGGCGCCTGGGGTGTGCGTGAAAGGCTGGAGGTCGCAGTGACCAGAAGGGCGGCGGGGTCACGGCGACCCTGAGTCCCTGGACGCCGCTGGCACACAGCCGCACAGGGGAATAACTGTATCAATGCAAATGAACGAAGGAAGGAAAGAATGCAGCGGGCAAAGGAGCCGGCGTTCCCGCGCGCCGACAGTTCCCACGGTCCCGGACGCACCCGCACCCGCGCCCGCAGCAGCGGTGGGGCCAACGCTCAGCGTTTGCGCCGCCCAGGCTTGCGGGCTGTCTCCAGACAAAATGCAAGAAATCGCACAAGTGGAGACAACAATCACAACACGTATTCTCTCTGCTCCCGCCTCCGTTTTTTTTCTCCCCTTTTTGCCTAGGTCTGAGGGGGAGGAGGTATCCATTTTGACAGTTCTGCACTCTCCTGGCCGGCGCGTCTTCTAACCAGGTGGGGGGTGCGGTCACTTACAGTGCCCAATCTGCTAAGGGTCATGCAGGAAAGGCGCCAGGGACAGCGAGGGGCGAGTGACTGCAGAGCAAGTCACTGCCCTAGAGCGGTGGTGGTTGGGTCAGAAATTACAGAGGCCTAAAGCCTCCTGGGGCCCTTGGCCAACAGCTCTGGACCCCTGAGGGGCCATTCTCCCCTCCTGGGCCCAGCGAAGAGCTTTCTGGCCTAGGGCTCTTCCTGGAGGATTTTCTGGAAAGGCCTGTACTTCACAAGGTCCGGAAGGCTGCCTGGAAGGCACTCTCCCTAAACAGCCTCCGCTGGAGTCTGGAAGTCCCACTGCACCTTCTTGGATTCCAGAAGGACCTCTGGGATGTAGGACACCCCTTCCTGGCGGCTCTCCTCTGCACCTCTTCCCACTTCAGCCGGTCACTGACCCCAGGACTGCTAGAGCAGCAGTAGGGTGCAGGGGGTTAGGGGACTGCTATCGGATCCCACCTGGAGAGGAGAGGGAAAGCAAATTCACTTTATGCAGGAAGTGCTGTTCTCAGGTGCAAGCTATCTGGGACTCCAAATGTTAAAATTAGGGCATAAACCTGGAGAGGCTCCATTTCCCCCTCCACCTGCCCAGTCTTAGCTCTGGGGCCCCTTGCATGCTGCATACAAGGTGTCTGTGAACTCGGTCACTGCACAGTGGGACACTGAGAGCCGGATTTGCAAGCTGAGGGCTTTGCGGCTAGAGATATATGAACATGGGTCGTGAGTGGAGGGTTTGGGATTTTACTGCATTTATCTCACCGAATCTTCACAACAGCCCCATAAGGCCAGTCTTATCAACATCCCATTTTTAGTATTAGGAAAAGCGGCCTTGAGAGATATCTGACTTGCCTGGAGTCACGAATTCAGTAATTCAAACACTTAAGGCAGGGTCTACCTCCAGACCCCAGGGTTCTTCCACCGCAATGCCACCTCCTTCCAGGGTCACCTCTCCCAAGATCTGCACAGAAGTGGCGCTCTGAATATTTGTGGAATGCATTCCAGGATCCAGTCAAGCCTGCAGTGTTGTATACAGTAGGGCGTAGTCTTAAACCGCATTTGCGGCTCCTTTATTCTTTCAGGTATTCGGCAGTTCTTGGGAGTCCGTGTGTGCCTGTAGACGCAAGAGGGCAGGAATGGCCCTACTCACCTGGGGTAGGGTGAATGGGAGCTGCGGGCCCTCCTGCAAGGGACAGTGACCATGAACTCTCAACCTCGCAGACCCCTGAGTGGCGCGGGGGGTGCGGACCTCGGAACAGTCTATCCTGGGATATCAGGAACTAGGAACTGGCAGAGCTCCAAGGTCGCACCCAAGCTTTAGGGGACATCGGAGGGCGGAAGCGATTCGGAGGAGCAGGACGGTGGGTCAGAAGAGAAAACCGAAAATAGAACGTGAAGGCAATTCCAAGAAAGAACTAGAGGCGAGGGAGCTGGAGATCCCGACTCGGAGACGGCTGGGGTGGGGGGATAAGAAGAGGAAAATGAGAAGCCTGATCAGGAGACAACAGATATGTCCTTCTGAGAGCCGGGAGGCTGCGGGAGCGTCGAAGGGGCTCCGGCAAGCACCCCAAAGAACCTGAGGCGGATGCAGACCCTAGCCCAGCTCCAGCCCTGGTCAGCCTTTATGATGGCCAAAGTTGGCTGGAGACAAGGTACCCCAAAGACCCGGCCGTTGTGAAAAGCAGTAGGTGCGTGCCTTTGAGAACCGCTCAGTGGGGATTCACTGTCAACGTCTCGCGCCGGGTGTTCCCAGGCGAAACCTGTTTGGGATGTTTTCCGTAGGATTCCACGTGCGGGAGGAGTGGTGGCGGTTGGTCGAGGCAGAGGGCCGCAGTCGGGCTCCCGCCGGGCAGTGGCGAATACGGGCAGCG